CAAGCTATTTTAGAATCAAACATATTATTTATTTTTCACTATCACATCACTCTTCTCTTCTCAACTACATTGGCCTGTTTGGACTGATGTTCTACTTCATTTTTTCAATATCATAACAGTCTAGATATTTAACAGTCTCTAGTTCATGAAAATACGTAACTTATGTTTGACATGAAAATCTTGCACATGAATACGTACACCTATAGAACATATTTTCTATTTGTGTTACTAATTTTTGTAATAATCCATTAGTTGGATACATTAACTACTTTCTTATTGACTCCTTATCGAGCAAGTATCTTACCAATATTCCACTTTATCATAAATAGTTTACTAATTTACATCTTGTCTTATCACACGTACATATTTTCTTCAGGATATTGGATCTCGATTTCTTTATATATAATGAATTAATGATGCAACCCATGCTTATTCTTTGGATAATCTTGATATGGTTTAGGTTTTTTTTTTCATAGACCAAACTCAATTGGTCTGCCAAAGTAACAATTTTTTTTAGTCTCTATGCTCGGGATGACACGGCATGTTTTTAGTACCCTTTGTCCACGGTTTTAGGCGGGTAAATAAAAAAAATGTTGTGGTGCGGGCTAGCCCTAATTGACAACTGATTCATACTGTTTGTTTTTTCTGTGTGGTCACCACTTGAAGACGAAGACTTTTTACAAATTGATATAGAATTTCAATTATCTTAATATTATTGTTTGAGACTAATACTAATAACAAAAGGTAGGTATCCATTATTCAATGACGGAGCTTAATAAGTGTGGAGGTCGAAACCAACACGATTAGATTTGTCAAGGGTTTTTAAGGGAAACAAGATCTCTTGAAAGAATCACAAGAACAGTCAAGAACAAAGTTAGAAAACACGAAAATAGCGTTAAGAAAGCTTTATTAATTTTGTGCTAAGTGTTTTGTGTGCAAAGTTGTGGATCCCCTTTTCAAAAGAGTTACAGGAGTATATATACAAGTCTAAGTCGGCTAGGTCTAACAACTAAGAGATAAGGAAGGTTTTCGTATTCCTCAGGATTTTCCTTTTATCGTAGTCGGTGCTAACCACGGTTTTGTCGTCGTGGGCTAGACTTCGCCACCTCGCCATCTTGGGCCTGCGTTCCTGGCCAACTTCTTGTAGTCGGCCCATTGCCTAGCTCTTTAGGATGGTTACGTCGGCTGGTTGTCAAGCACTCCAGATGGCGACGTTGGCGACAATGGTCGGCAAAGCAGTGCTCGTCAAGGAGCTCTCGGCGGTAGTAGTCGGCAAGGCTGTGCTAGGTGACGGAGATTGGTGGAAATGAGCATTTCCGGCGAGTTCTCCAGGTCTCCAGAGTGTACTAGGCACCTTTCCATTTCTGTTCATTTCTATACTTAGCCATTTTACGAGGGAAAGCTGTCGGAGGGAGTTTTGACCCCAACAATAAGTAATATATCTAGAAACTTTAGTTTGTAATTAATATAGGAAAAACATCATTAAGCCAAATAGAAAATAAGCCAAAAATTATCAACCTTATTAATTAATAGGTATCTACACCAAGAAAATA